GCTCTCCGCCCGCCTCTGACCCTGCAGGCCCTCTACCTTGGGGCTGAGAGTGCAGGGACGGACTCCGCAGCTGCTGAGATCAGGGACGGACTCCGCAGCTGCTCAAGCTCAGTATCTGTGATTGGCCCTGCGCACTGTCAGCTTCCTGGCGGGCTCAGGCACGTGGAGCTGCGAACATTAGAGACTTCGCCACAAACGGGCTCAGGCACGTGGAGCTCATCATTAGAGACTTCGCCACAAACAGCCACAAAGGCAAGAGAATTCTTGTTGGGCAGTGTATTAGTGCAGTGTATTACTTGGGCAGTGTATTAACCCTCTGGCACTGCGCTCACATGATCCCTTCCCCTTCTGGTCAATTTAAAAAAATGGCGACTGTAAATAAGAGAAGGAAAGTTGACAGTGAGGGCCGCCGCTTCCAGGACAGGTGGAAAGTGGAATATTTCTTCACTGAAATAGAGAATCACTGTGTTTGTCTGATATGCCAAGAGACTGTGGCTGTTTATAAGGAATTTAATGTCAAGAGACACTACCAGTCGAGACATAGCACATACGACAAGCTTACAGGGCACGACCGCAGTGAAAAGTTGAAGCAACTTGAAGCTGTTTTAATGTCACAACAGAAATTTTTCATAAGAGCCCGTGAGTCAAATGAAAATGCCACAAGGGCGAGCTATGAGGTGGCAACGTTAATTGCTAAAAATTGCAAATCTTTTGCTGAGGGTGACTTTATCAAAGAATGCGTTATGAAAATGGTTGAGAATATCTGTCCCGAGAAGAAGCAAGAGTTTGCCAACATTTGCCTGGCTCGTAACACTGTAGCACGGAGAATTGAAGAGATTTCATCAGATATTAAGAGACAGTTGACATCCAAAGGAGTGGATTTTGACTTCTTTTCAATAGCCTGTGATGAAAGCACGGACCTATCTGACACAGCTCAGTTGCTGATTTTTATGAGAGGGGTGGACGATGAAATGAATGTGACTGAAGAGCTACTTGACCTCCAGAGCCTTACGGACCAAACAAGAGGAAAAGATTTATTTGTTTCTGTTAGTTCCGCCATAGATGACATGAAACTGCCTTGGAACAAAGTTACTGGGATTATTACTGATGGGGCACCTGCCATGGTTGGTGAACGAAGTGGATTATCAACCCTAATCTGTAACAAGGTGATCGAAGAAGGAGGCAAAGCTATTAAACTCCATTGTATCATTCATCAACAAGTTCTCTGTGCTAAACATCTCAAATATGATCATGTTATGAAACCGGTGCTAAAGACTATTAATTTTATTCGCTCTAAAGCCCTGTGCCACCGCCAGTTTAAACAGTTTCTACTGGACATCCAGGCTGAATACGAAGATGTTTTATATCACAACGATGTAAGATGGCTCAGTCGGGGGTCTGCACTGCAGCGTTTCTACTCTCTCAGAAAGGAAATCGGAGAATTCTTGGAAACAAAGGGACAACCAATGCGAGAACTATCTGATCCTATTTGGCTGGCTGATTTGGGGTTTCTAGTTGACATAACAAAGCATCTGAATGTACTGAACACGAGTCTTCAGGGGAAAGATGCAGCGGTGAACCAGCTTTATTCACACCTCAAAGCCTTTGGGACAAAGCTGCAACTTTTCATAAGGCAGTTGTCACAAACACAGCCCAATACCATACATTTTTCAGCGTTGCAGGAAATAATGAACAGTTTTCCACAGGACAATATCAGTGCGCAAACGAGCAGGTATGCAGCAGACATTGCATCTCTGGCTGGGGAGTTTAAACGGCGCTTTCAGGACTTTGCAGCTATTGAAAAGGAGATCAGCCTTTTCTCCTCTCCATTCTCTGTTGACCCCGAGGATGCTCCAGATCAGCTGCAGCTCGAGCTCATTGAGCTGCATTGTGACAGCGAGTTACGCAGTCGTCACCAACAGCTCTCTCTTGTGAACTTTTACCGCCAACTGGATAAGAGCCGGTTTCAAGAGATTCGAACATTGGCTAAGAAAATGCTGAGCTTGTTTGGCTCAACATATATGTGTGAGAAGACATTCTCTGCTATGAACTTTAACAAGAACCGCGTGAGGACAAGACTAAGTGACTCTCACCTGCGTGACATTTTGCGCATCAAAACCACTGCCTTTGAACCAGACCTAGCCTATGTACTGCAATCCAGATCTCAGTTTCACCCTTCACATTAGTGTAGGCAAGTTTTTTTTTTTCAATTGAGATGAATACATTGTAAAATCTCAGTTAATGTCTAAATCAGTTATAAATATATTTGGACACAACATGTATAGTTGGTGTTATGTCGTTTGCCGTTTGCAATAATTGAGATGACTACATTGTAAAATCTCAGTTAATGTCAGTTGGTCTAAATCAGTTATAAATATATTTGGACACAACATGTATAGTTGGTGTTATGTCGTTTGCCGTTTGCAATAAACTTTGCATAAAATAGTTAATTTGCATTTAATTTTAATGGTTCAAAGAATGTCAGGCAAAATGGTCGGCCCTCACGCATGTTCACTTCATCAAATCTGGCCCTCTTTGAAAAAAGTTTGGACACCCCTGGTCTAAAGGATGACTTACTACTTCTAGTGTGTGAACTTTAAAAAAAAGTTTAAAGCTAATTTTGTGACTTTATCAATGTAATATCCTTTTATGAAAGAAATGTGTCACTATAGCACATTTATTGGACTGACTATAGTGACAAGTATCTGGAGACGGTGGAGATGTAAAAATATTGTGAGCCTCGACTGTTGCAGGAATAAGACAGCTACAGTTCTCTGTAAAAATCTGAAATTTCTCTTGGCTTAAACATAGTAGCAACTGACCAATTTTACTCTGATTCAAATCTTGGAGCTGTTTACAAGTAAGTTTCAGAATAAATTCCTGTGAGGAAGGTGCTGGTGATGGGGAAATTCAGAAATTTGATGGAGCAGGGTACGATAAAGACCTGGTTGAAGCACTGGAAAGGGACATTGTATCAAGAAATCCAAGCATTCATTGGTATGAGGATTTTCTCAGCTAAATTCTTTAGCCAGGTTGGAGGGGAAAGAGCATATCTTCTCATTAAATGGAGGGTTTAACTCTTAAAATGAAGGTGCTGGTGATGGGGAAATTCAGAAATTTGATGGAGCAGGGTACGATAAAGACCTGGTTGAAGCACTGGAAAGGGACATTGTATCAAGAAATCCAAGCATTCATTGGTATGAGGATTTTCTCAGCTAAATTCTTTAGCCAGGTTGGAGGGGAAAGAGCATATCTTCTCATTAAATGGAGGGTTTAACTCTTAAAATGGCAAGCAGCCACAACTTTCCACATAGGGGAAACAAGAGCTTTCCAGTTCTAATTTTGCACTAATTTGAGTGCAGAATAAGACTTTCATTCTTAACCAATATTATGTGCAAAAAATATCCATTACAAGTGCTTCATCAAAAGCCTAAATGCAACCCCAGAGAATGTTAAAAAGGTTGTTTTGATGACCAACCAAGGATCCTAAAATTAATTTGACATAGGAAAAGAAGGGAAAATGTGGAATTTGTGTTTTGACACAGAATTGTTAGTTTTTGTAATTTGTAAAAAAAAAAAAAAAAAATTATATTAATGATCAACTACACTTTACTGAAAGTGTTAGTGTCAGTTATTCAGAGTGCGCCACCTCCCCTCCTTTGTGGCTGATTTTTGGCTGCACTTTAAATTTACAGTGAAATCCTGTTTATCTAATCTAATTGGGACCAGGGCCAGATCCGTTCATCAAAAATTGGGATAATCAGGAGACATGGCAAAGTGCTTTCTAGCCCTTAGGGTACGTCAAGACTACAGGCTTTGTCGACAGAGGTTTTGTCGACAGATGCTGTTGACAAAGCTTTTGTCGACAAAGAGCGTCTAGACTACATCCAGTTCTGTTGACAAAGCAAGCCGCAAAGGACAGTGTAGATGCAATAACGCCTTCTGTCAACAGAACTCTTGTCGACAAAAGGCGTTATTCCTCATAGAATGAGGTTTACCGCCGTCGACAACACTGCTGAGTTCTGTCGACGTTATGTCAACAGAACTCGGTGGTAGTGTAGATTCAGGTATAATTTTGTCGACAAAAGTCCACTTTTGTCAACAGATCCCTGTAGTCTAGACACACCCTTATTTCTTATTCCTGTTTCTGTCCCAGGCAACTGGCAGTTCAGTTAATGTGAAGAAGAAAGTGGAAGCTTGGCTAATCAGGGTACTACTGTATATCAGTAATGTTCAACTGTGTGCTGCAGCGAGGCAATTTTATCCACGGGCAAACTTAGATTTTTTTTCTTTATTAGGTAGTTTTGGTTGTTTTTTTTATCACAGAAAACTGTGATCCCTGATGATCATGTGATCTAAACAATTTTTTAATTGAGTACTGTAGTAGCATTAGCAGAAAGTAATTTTTTTTCTGCATGTCACAGGAGAGATTATTTTAAGGCCACAGAATTATAGCATTCTTCTTAGTGGGAACACACTAGCATAATAAAAAGGATAGTTGTAAATAAAAGACTTTTTTCCCTCATCTTTTGTGTCTTAAAAACAAAGTAAGAAATGTGCTTTGTAAATTTGTGCTGGTCTTTCACAGGGATGACATAGCAGATTTGGAAGAAGCCAAGAAATTATTAAGGGAAGCAGTTGTTCTGCCAATGTGGATGCCTGATTTTTTCAAGGGGATCAGAAGGCCTTGGAAGGTGAGGACCACATTCTTGGGAGTGGTCATACATGGTATTTTCATATATGCTAAGCACTCTGTATGTAAACATTTGTGCTCATGTTTCCTTGTATTGATGATATATGTACTATGTATAGCTATAATATTGCATAATTAGAGGATTTACCTAGCATTGCTTGGGTCCTTAACTGAAATAATGTTTTGTTTTTCTTCATTTAAATCATTGCTCTGGGATGAAGCTTGGGATGAGGGGTTCAGCATGCAGGCTGCTCTTGAGAGAGAGGACAAACTCAGCCTTCTCTCACTGCAGCAGCTTGGGGCCAGGTGAGAAGCAGCAGTCAATGGCTGCTGCAGCGGTCACAACCTAGGAAGGGGTGCATGTCCCCAGCTGGGGATCAGACAGACACACAGACTGCTGTCCCCTTTCTCCACCTCAGCCCCTGCTGTTCTGGTCCCCATCTCTGGCCCCTTGCTGTTCTCCTGTGGTCATTCTATAGCAGGGATGGGGGAACCTAAGGCTTGGGGACTGGATACCCTTCCTGGCTTGCCTGGATCTGGCTCCTGAGGCTCAGCGCTTCTCTTCCCCAACCCTTCTGCTGCCTCTCCTCCCCCCAGGGCTGGAGCACACAAAATCTACTGGTGTTCTGGGATGCGAGGGGAATGTGGCCTTAGTTGGGGGCCACATCAGTGAGGGTTTTTTTTTTTTTTTGCTTCTCATTGTGTGCGGCCCCCGACTGCTTTGTCTGTGGGTCAGCAACCCCTGACCCAAAAAGGTTCCCCATCCCATTCTACAGCAAAACTGTCCCTGCCAGCAAACCTCTCCCTTCCTGTTTTATGAGAAACAATCACATTCAAAGCCAGACCCGTTGTCGTGGCACGACCAAACCCTGACTTTCCTTTTGACGTGTGATAGGAGGAAGCTGCATACCAAATTTGGTGGTCCTAGCGCTTATCATTTAGGAGGAATTCTTGAACAAACAGACTCGCAGACGGAGGGATGGACAGATACACACACACAGACTTTCTCAAATATATAGTAGGTAGCAGTCGTGGATTATCTCATGGATCGCTGGGTCCCTAGCCAATTTGAGACCCCGTAAAATCTCCTGCCACTGCAGCCCCAAAGCTGGAGTAACGGCGGGGGGATAGAGTGTCTCCAGTCTTGGGGCTGCAACTGTGGGTTGTGGTGGGAAGGAGCAGGTGGCAGGTGGGGCCATGGGAAAAGGGGTATGGTGGGTAGAATGGGGCGAAGCTACTGGAGAAGTGGTGGGCAGGACTGTGGGTGGAACCAGGAAAGGGCAGGATGAGGCAGGGCCTCAGGTGGAAGGGTGAGGCACGGCCACAATTCTGGTACCAGGTAGGGATGTGAAGGAGCGATTAATTTGCTAGTTGAGTAGTCGATGAACCCACATTTGTTAAGAAATTAACCATCCTTGCTAAATAAATGTGTATTTTAGGCTAATACTCAGAAGCAGATCCATGTCTCCTGGGGGCCCTGGGCCAAAGCTAGTGGGAGGGCCCTGGTACTAGGGATGTAACGGACTAGTCGACTAGCTGACTATCCATTAAGCATCAGGATAGTTGACTAGTCTCTCCCTCCCCCATCTCACCTCCCCCTCCCCCTGCTGCTTCCACGTGGTGTGCCAGCTTTGAAATGCACAAGAGTTCCCACCAGGGGCTCTTGTGCATTTCAAAGCAGTAGTGTGCATGGAACCTGGGGGCAGTGGGGTAGAGTCCTCTACTTGCCTCAGGCTCTATGCTATGCTTCCTCTTTGAAATACACAAAAGCCCCCTGCTGGGGACTCTTGTACTTTTCAAAGCTGAATCCCCAACTAATCCTGGGCTCCAAGCAGCACTGCTGCTTTGAAATGCCGTGTGGAGCCCAAGGTCAATCCTCAGCTGATCCCGGGCTCTACCTGGCATTTCAAAATGGCAGTGCCACAGAGCTTGGGTTCAGCTGAAGAGTCCCCAGCTGATCCTGGGCTCCCCACAGCATTCAAAGTGGCAGTGCTGCACGGAGCAGCTTACTACAGACTCCATGCAGCACTGCTGCTTTTAAATACCCCCCCCTTCTTCCCTTCATCTTGCTGCCTCTCTCTGATGGGTAGCAGCGGGGGAGGGGATAGAGACTAGTCGACTATCTTGTTGACTATCCTGTAAGCATTTTCTTATTGAATAGTCGACTAGTCCTTTGCATCCCTAGTACTAGGGCCCTCCCCCTGGCTTTGGCCCAGGGCCCCAAGAGACATGGATCTGCTTCTGAGTAATAGCCTAAAATACACATTTATTTAGCAAGGATGGTTAATTTCTTAACAAATGTGGGATTGATCCAGAGTAGCTGAGACAACTTAAAAAAAAATGTCGAGGAAGCATAAAATGACCTAGCTTCTGGCATAGGACTGATTGTTCCTTATTCAGGGTATGACTTGTCAGGACACAGTTGTGTGCTTGTCCCTTCATTGAGTTAGTCCTGATGATGAAGTCCAGGAAGATATTTCCTATTGAATATCTCCTCTCTGGCTCTGATTCAGCAAAACACTTAAGCATGTGGTTAATGTTAAACGTGTGAGCAGTCCTACTTGAACAACCTTCTCAGGCATTTCATCATCTGCCCAATTCCCCCCACTCCCTGCTGCTAAATACCTAACCAGTTACTAGTTTAAGGTGGGATTGTGGCTTCCCTTTTACAGCCGGAGTGCTGCTTCTTCCCTTTGATCTGCAAGAAGCTGACAATGTGTTAACCCTCTCTGAGCAGGCTAGTGTTTCTGAGGCCCTTCACATGCTAACGGGGCCCTTCTTCTCTCCTGAACCCAGCAGTGCCTGCACTGGGGAAGCCATTTTGGAGGATGTAGTAATCACTGCTCTAGAATGCCCTTGCCTTGGCACTTGGCAGATAACTCCCATTTTGGTCAGTGCTCCTTTGCACCCAGCTAATAAGTAACATGGCTCTGGCTGCAGGAGCCACATGCTAGCCCTTGAGGTTTTCACTTGTGGAAATGAGATGGTTACAAACATGGATTCCAATTCTTCCAAGTTTTGCCTCTTCGCTATTCAGTTGCAAATGTGAACTGATTTCCTAAGAGCCCATTATGTGCTTTCAGTCTCAGCATTTTACTGGTGACTTGTAAAGATGTGACTCTTATTTAATTTGTTTTGACACAGAGCTTTGTGTGTTCTCCCTCCCTGTAACTGTGCTGCAGGGGTGAAAAACCTTGAAGAGAGGGTTGCTTCTTGCTCTGATCAGTTGCAGCTGCACTTGATCCTGGCATTCAGGGCCACAGTTCAGAGAAAGAGCAGCCAGATCTTCTCTTGGATGTTTTAGACCCTCCTCAGAACAATCCCAAGTCTGCCTGTGTTTATCAAATGATGTGCAGCATGAAAAGGTTGGTATTCTTCCTGACTAACTATAGGTGCCCTGTTTCTGCAGCCATCACTTTCTGAACATCCAAGAGCGGCTATTTCCTTTCTCTGACCTACCTCTGTGCCAAGAAGGTCCTTTCTTTAGATAGGTATCCCACTGCTCCACTAGTGATAGTTGTAACAACAAGAAATAACCCTGTGACTCTCTGCAGTCCATTTTAGCTTCTTGAAAAACACTGGATTAACTGAGCCCAAGAGGAAGAATAAATAAGGCTTTGTGTTTGCAAAGAATTTTAACTGGGCAGTAACTTCCAGGTTCATAGTTGGTATAGAGATAAAGCAGCTTGTACTTCATGTTCTTCCTTCCAACCTTGTGCATCTGGTTAGCGCGGGGTTCTCAACTGGAGGATCATGATGACCCACCAGGGGATTGTGAGGTTATTACACGGGGAGTAGCAAGCTGTTAGTCTCCAGCTCCAAACCCCACTTCAGCATTTATAATATTATTAAATAAAAAAAGTATTTTTAATTTATAACGGAGTGGCACTCAGAGGTTGGCTATGTGAAAGGGGTCACCAATACAAATGTTTGAGATCCAATGAGTTATCCTTAGCTAGATATTCAGGCTCATGTTGTGCATTGATCCTTACATTTTATGCATCCCAGTTGGTATCATTCTCCCACTGCTTTGTGCCTTATGAGATCATTCATGCTTGTGCAAGGTGGATGTAAAATGCTACCATTCTCATTTTGTAATGTTACACCCCTTTTACGCAAGGAAAAGTGGTGAGCCAAGGTGTGAGACAGTGAGCAGCTAGACCCCTGGAATTCACTGGGGTTAAATAGGGTATTATTCAAGGTAGAGCTTTGCCCCCTGTATGGCTATTAAGATTGAAGCCTTGTCCACAGTGAGCTTTTAGCCTTCAGTGTAGCCACACTGGTGTAAACCCCTAATGTGAACACAACTTTCCTAATTCAAATCATATTGTACCAGTGCTTGTTTAGCTCTGCCTCAATCCAAGTTCTTTCTGCCCAGATGCAAATCAAGTTGCATTGTGTAAACCATGTGGTTAACAGATTTAAACTCCAGAAGGGTTCATTAAATAATCTAGTCTGATCTCCTGTATCTTTATACACACACAATGCATCCTCACTATGTTGAAGGGTCTTAGCCAGGATTGGGCAAGATGCGGCCTGATCCAGCCTGCCTAACATTTTGATCCAGCCCACGGATGCTTTCTATTTATATCCTGCTGCCTGTGCAACTAAATTTACAGGCAGCAGGATCCTATTTAAATGGCTCCCAGTTGTGGCACTTCTCTGGCTGGAGCTGCAACCCTTTTTAATAGCAGCAGCAACCCTGGGAAGCTGTCAGGCAACATTGTAGCAGCAGGGCTGGGAGCTCTTTGCTGTGCTTTTATTTCAAAGCCTCTGGGCCCTAAATAACTCTGGGGGGAGGCTAGTCCCAGCCCCGCCCCTTCCTCCCAAGGCCCTGGCCCTTCTAGGTGTGGAGTCATAACATTCATTGAGTGGCCTCCCTGCGAAAATTATTGCCCACCTCTGGTCTAAGCCATTTGTTTGTTATAGCAAAAGAGAATTCTTCCAGTCCTATGGCTGTGGCAGGGGCTGTGAGCTCCTCCAGCCCAGCAGCTGCAGCAGGGCTTTGGTGGGGGGATCCAAGGACCAGGATTATTATAGCCCAAGTTCATTATTGTAAAGGGTGTAATAGTGAGGTGTATTGTACAGGCCAGGGAATTTGATCTAGTTATCTACGTGTACATTAGTATTGCTGTAAGGGTTTAATTACCCTGGAACGTTGGCCCCTGCTGCAGATAATGCCTGAATGAACTTGCGGAACAGGAGTCTATTTACCTCCTATAGTTGCTGCCTTGGCACTTAGGAAAACTTGGGCATCCTTATCAAGGAAAGAGAGTTGTCAGCCGTCTGGAAGGAATATGAACATTTGTAATTTAATTTAGTGATTAATGTGTATGTGAGCTTGCAATAGCTAAGTGTTAAATGGCAATAAAGGTATTAACGATTAATGGAAAATGTAGGCACAGAGTGGCTAAGGTACGTGATGAATATGGGGGAAAACATTTTTGAATAATTGTATTCCCGGTTGATTTGTTTTTACAGATTCTTCTGTGTCATTCATTGTGCTCCTTGCGGTAAATTTTGTGTTGAACAGACACAATTTAATTTGCCGCATGGATCATGTTTAACAGATATTGTAGTGGTATTTTATGTAAGAGATTAATTGCAAAGCACATTATGATGTGCAAATCTAATTCCAGCTAATTTGATTCCCCTTGAAACACAGTATGACTTTACCTTAGTAAGGTCTTGTTAGCATGTAATCAGATCTTGCACTTGTAAAAGAAAGCAGCTCAGAAACCTTATTCTTGGCAGCAGAGCACTTAGTGTCTCTGTATTATTTTTCCCCCTGAATCTTGCTGAGTGGAGAAAACACTGTCTTCCATCTCCTGACTGGGGGTGCGGAAAGGAGGAGCTGATTTGGAATTTAAAAGTGTCTGGACTAATTTTATTTTAATTATTTAATGACCAAGAATTACTCCACTACAGAAGGGGAAATGATTGTTACCACCACTCATTTTCAGGAGACCATGCCATGAAGGGTCATTTCAAAACTAATGCCTCTCTTCCAAGGGATAATTAGCAAGCCCCAGCATGGACACCTCATTTGGGCCCTGAAAATGGAAACGTCGTTTCTCCATGCATAATGTCTTTTACACTTCGGTGAATAAACAGGCACTGATGTAGAGGAGACTAGTGCTCTCCAACCTTGTCCTCTTTTACCTGAATGGCAGCTGGAAGGGTGCTCAGGCTACCAATGTCCCCTGTAAGCTCTGCGCTTGTGCAGCCACTCAGGAGAGATTCAGATGCTGCCCAGCTGATTAGCAGAGCATCTACAGCTGGGTTTTTGTCTCTCCTGATGGTGCACATTCACACATGTCTCAGTGCACATAAAAATGTATTTTGACCAGAAAAAAGATCCCAGACATGGATGGAAAAGATTAGTGGGAACATTGCAGGCCACTAACCATGGGACTTGGTATAACTGCATTCATTTCTCTGCTGTGCCTTGGACTTCTTGTGTGATCTTGGGTAAGTCACTTAGCTTCTCTGTGCCTCAATTTCTTCTCTGTACAGTTAGGATAATAGTCCTTCCTTGCCTGATAGGGATCTGTGAGGATAAATAAAGTAGCTTTTGAGATGCTCAGATGCTGTGGTAATGGGGCTATGTAAGTACCTTATTTCTATATATATTTTAGAGATTGTTGCTCTCTGCAAGTCTGTTTGTTCAAGAATTCCTCCTAAACTGTAAGAGGTAGGACCATCAAATTTGGCAGGCAGCTTCCTCTTATCATAACTTAAAGCAAGGTCAGGGTTTGGTTGCACCAGGAAAATGGGATATGCCTGGAATTCGATCGTTTTCCATAACATGGAAAGGCACTCCCTGGGTCTGCCTGTGACGGGGGAGAGGAAGTTGTGCGCAGGCTGGCCAGCTCCACAGCTTTATCGGGCAGCCTGGCGGAGTGGGGAGCGTGGGTGGTACCTCCTGCAGCAGGGGCCCGGGCTGCAGTGCTTCTGGGAGCAGCCTCACCACTAAGGGAGTGACCACCTAGGGATGGGGTTCACTATCTTGACTGCCCCAAGGTCCTATCCCCCTGTCCTCTGCCCCAGTGCCAGAGGCAGGGACGGGGGGGGGGCGGGGAGGGGAGGGCCTAGCAGTGCAGCCCTGGCCCCTGCTGCAGGAACTCCAGCCTGTGTCCCCTGGTACTGCCAGGCTGCCCCATACAGCTTTGGGGCTGGCCAGACCACACACAGTTCCCCTCTCCACTCTGGGTAGGCCTGGGGAGCACCAGCTAGAGGCCTGCTCTAAGGATGTTAAGGAGTAGTCAAATAGTTGACTATCCGATAAGCAAATGACCCCCCCCCCCCCCCCCCCCCGCTGCCTCTATCAAATAGAGGCAGCAAAGGGTGGGGAAGGGGTACTTAAAAAAAGTGGCAGTGCCACACAGAGCTGACCCTGGGTTCCATGCAGCACTGCTTTGAAATGCCAAGGTGATGTTTTCAAAGGGGCAGCTCCGCACAGCTGATCCCGGGATCAGCTGTGCGGTGCTGTCCCTTTGAAATGCCACGTTGGCGTTTGTGTGGAGCCCAGGGTCAGCGGGGGAGTCCCCAGCTAATTCTGGGTTCCAGTGCAGTGCGCAGAGCCTTGGGGTCAATTGGGGAGTCCCCACCTGATCCCGGGTTCTGGGGAAATGCCACCTGACCTGGGCTCCATGTGGCATTTCAAAGCGGCAGCACAGCATGGAGCCCAGGGTCAGCGGGGGACTCTGAGTTCCCCACTGACCCCAGAATTCATGAGGGCGCTTCTGCTTTGAAATGCACAAAAGTCCCCACTGGGACTTCCCGCCCTGGCCTGAACACAGAGTTCCGCATTCCTCCTTCGAAATGTACAAGAGCCCCAGTGGGGCTATCAGTTAATTGAGTAGTTGACGGAAATTCCATTGACTACTTGACTAGTAAATTACTCACTATTTAACATCCTTAGCCTGCACAGCTAGCCACCCTGCCCCTAGTCCCCACACTCTGGTCCCGGGCAATGCTGGATAAGTCTTCTAGTAAAGAATAAATGACATAAAAAACTCATACAAACAAGGGATGGTTTTAGTGAAATGCATGTTTAGAAACAAAATTCCGACTCATGAATAAGGGCAGAGTTATGTTTTTGAACAATTGAAATGCAGACCTTGGGTCAAATTTAGACCTAGTGATTATAGTGGATTAGTATTTTTGCTTGCATCAGGGCTGAATTCAGGATCTCCTCTTGTCATGCATTTATTATTCTGTATTGAATTTTAGGGTGTTCTGATGGTTGGCCCCCCTGGGACTGGCAAAACCATGCTAGCAAAAGCTGTTGCTACAGAATGTGGAACAACATTCTTCAATGTTTCTTCCTCCACTCTGACATCAAAATACAGGGGCGAGTCAGAAAAGCTAGTACGCCTGTTGTTTGAAATGGTAAGACCTTGCTGGTTTATCTAGCCCCCTCAAAGCATGTTGTTGCACAATTGAGTTCATTATCTTTTCCAGTGGATGGGTGTGCCTGTTTTTGCATTAGACCATTTTTGATGTATTTTTGAGGACTGCGGAGTACATGACCTTTGTTTCTAGAAGCAAAATGTGTTTTATCAGTTTTCTCTATTCCAAGCTAAATGTCGGGTTCATGAAAATCTAGGGCCACATCCTGAACTGCAGCTGAGAAGTTCTTAGTGCAGTTTCTGGGTTGAACTTGTGTACATGCAGGCATGCCATTTATCCTCTCTTCATCCTTATTTGCTTCTGCACTTCCAAGAGGGTGCCCATTAAAACACCTTGGCTATGTCTATACTGCAGCCTTCTTCCACAAAAGCTTATGCAAATGAAGCACAGAGGAGGGTTTTGTGCAAAAAAGAGCTGTCTACGCAGCTCCTTTTTGCACAAAAGCCTCTTGCACAAAAACGGCTGCTAATTAATTATGCAAATAAAACATGGCAATATTCTACTTTGCGCTTCATTTGTATAAGCTTTTGCGGAAGAAGGCTGCAGTATAGACGTAGCTCTTGTGATTTTTAAATCGAGTGGAAACTGAATCTCCCTTCCACTCCAAACCTTTGCCTTCACAAGAAGCACAATATGTATGTTAGCGGCGAGGAGTCCTGTGGCACCTTATAGACTAACCGAAATGTTGGAGCATAAGTTTTCGTGGGCAAAGACCCACTTCGTCAGATGCATGTAGTGGAAATTTCCAGAGGCAGGTATAAATATACAGGCCAGAATCAGGCTAGAGATGACGAGGTGGATCCAATCAGGGAGGATGAGGCCCACTTCTAGTAGCTGATCTGGAGGTGTGAACACCAAGAGAGGAGAAGCTGCTTTTGTAGTTAGCTAGCCATTCACGGTCTCTGTCAAATCCTGAGTTGAATGTGTATATTACAAACTAGCAGAACCCAGGTGTGATGAATGAACTACGTCAATGACATTAACATAGCATATTTTACTGGAAATACTTTTCTCTTACATATTACTTTAAGAAATGAACATAGCTAATACTTATGTACTTTTTCCTATCATAGGGAAAGGATCTCATAGTTGTAGTTTGTGACACACTTAACAGAAGAGTCCAGCAAATACCTATGATCAGGCGCTACTAAAAGCTAATTTGTGGCCCATTTGGGACTCTGGGGGCCCAATTGGGGTTCTGGGGGAGCCGGGGGAACTGATTTTGAGATATAAACCAATCCAGTTATTTAAATTAGGAAATCAGTAGTACCTGTTCAAAATTTGGTGTTTCTAGCTCTTGCCGTTTTGGCGATCTTTCAGGACAAACTAACTAACTTTTGGAAATATTTGTGAGATAGTGTATTTTGAGTGTTTCCCCCACCTCATTTGCAGGATCAAGGCCTAAGAAAACAAAGGCCAGCTAAAGAGTAACTACTATCAGTTCTCATCCTTAAAGGAAACCTGCACAACACTTTTTCCAAAGATGAGCCTGAGAGCTTGTGACGTGCGCAGGATACAGCCTGGACTGAGGAGTATCTGTGTCACTCATGCCCACTAATCTGGGGTGCCCTTTACTCTGCTTTGCTGCTGTAGCCTCTCATCTAGGCTACTCCAGCACGCGAGTCACTATCAGCTATGTCTCTGTGTGTATGTGTGTGCGCTGCAGGGTGACTCAGCTCACTCCCAGTTTTGGATGCCTTTCCCCCACCTCCAAATATGTCCTGCATTGCCCAGACCTCTCCTGGACAGTATAAGTCCCTTATTATTTTTATGATAACTTACCCACTTGGTATTTTAAATAGTTCTTCACACACTTTACTTTAAACATGATGGATTAGTTAAAACAGTAAAACAATGTTATTTACTACAAAGAGAGATGTTTAAGTGACTACAAGTAATGAATCATAAGTAAGAAGTGGTTACAAGAAAAATAAAGATAAAAACCCAATTAGTGCCTTATCAATGTTAAATGCAAACGTGTTCTCACCACAGGCTCTCAGCAGTATTATTGGCCAAACTTCTTAGGTCAGGATCTCTTCTTCTTTTTAATGGCTGCTTCCTTTGTCCTATCTCATGCAAAGAATTGATGGGAATTGGGCAGGATGAGGGGGGTGCTTTGGGGTATTTGTCCCCCTTTTCTATAGTGTCATCTCCACTTTGGAAAACAATTCCAGCCAAGATCCAGGAGATTGAGAGTCTACAGAAAGGGATCTTCCTGGCTGCTCTTCCTTATCTGTTGGAGCTTTTTTGGTTTTCTTTCCTGCTTGATGACTTTATTTACTGCTTAAATGCAGATGAAGCAGAGCACATTCTTCTGTTTGAGACAGACCAGTTTGTCCGTCTCCATTTGGAACATGTTAATAATATCATACAGAGAAATCTTATAACTTCACATAGTGTATTGCCATTTTATCAGGACAATATTGATGAGCAAATTGAGTCTTAGATGATACCTTACAAGGCATACTTTGTACAGAAATTATTACAACAGTGTGTAGGGTGCGACTATAGGTAAATTCTGTCTCAGAGCTTAAATTGATGACTTTGTTAGACACTGAAAATCATGGACTGAACAGAGACAGTGGGATTTATGGTTTATTACAACAATCTATAGCCCACTAACCCTCAGCCCCTTTTTGTTCTATGTCTGCAGAGGTGTTACATGGCACTCTACTTTGAATGGTCCCATATAATATATGCTAACTACTTATGCTAACCAATCTGTTCCACCTTGTATTTAGCTGTGCTACTCAGAGTACCTTTCCCACAGACCCAAAGAGCAATGTGTGTGGCTCAGAAGCTTCTCTCTCTCACCAATGGAAGTCAGTCCAATAAAAGAGATCACCTCATCCACCCTGTCTCTCTAATATCCTGAGTCTGACATAGCTAGAACCATCTGCATACAAGAAAACAAGTAACACATTAAAGGCTTCTGCATGTGCTTAACTTTCGGCACTGTTAAAGGTACTTTTAACGTCAGTGGTGCTCATGTATGTGTGTGTAAGTAAAGTTAGGCACATGTGGAAGTGGTTGCAAGGTCAAGATCTTAGATGAGTTTTTCTGAGACTGGGACGTGTCTTTCAATATATTTATTTAGCCTCTAACATAATAGGGGCTGAAGCCTAGTTGGGGTTTTTGCTTGCTACAGCAATCTGAGTAATTGTATTTTCACTTCAATAAAGGCAAGATTTTATGCTCCAACAACAATCTTCATTGATGAAATAGATTCCATCTGCAGCCGCAGAGGCACTTCTGATGAACATGAAGCAAGTCGCAGAGTCAAATCGGAGCTGCTTGTTCAGATGGACGGTAATTGGTGTTTTGATATCTCAGAGTTGAGCTCTGTTTCTTGTCTGGCTTTGTGAAGTGCTTTGTAGACACTTCATTAATCAGAAATGAGGAGAGCTGGTAGAAAAAGCCCTTTTTATGTGGGGGGAAACTTCTCTAAAGTGCTCAAAATGGGCTCCTTTTTTGGGTAATGAAGAGTGTCCACATTATCTAATTTTTAAAATTTATATCTTTATAAGCATGCTATTGCTGCAGAAAATTTGTTCTTATAAAAGCCATTTTCAATAAACTAATTTGAAAGATGGAGGCTACTCTAGGAGGAGCTTGTTATGAACATTCATGCAGTTTAACACACATGTTTGTATGTGGTGCAGTACTTAGGATAGTTTTGCAATGCAAAGCTGTGAACAAATGCCTTCTTAGAGTCTCCCATTCAGGATCTTTTTGGATTTAACTAGACCAGGTCTTGCATTGACAACTAGTATCATTTTGACAATAAGATTTATCATTGGACCGCTGTTTTCTGTATATGTACCATTTAACACCATTAACAAAGGAATATTTGTGGTACAGGGTTTGACTCCCACCTCCCTGTTGTTGCTGTTAGTCATTGTAGGGTTGCACCAATGTTTTCTCTAATCTTTTTTTATCCATGTGCAGATTTTTTCCATTCATGTGTGGCATAAATGTATGTGCTCTGAGGCATGTGTGAATGTGCACCGCCAGAAGAAACACAAAACTTAGCTGTGGGTGCTCTACTAATCAGCTGGGCAGCATTTGAATTTCTCCTGAGAGACCACATTAGCGCACAGCTTACAGGGAACACTATGTGGCACCTCCAAATGTGTAGGCACCTGAGGCAGGTTAAGGTTTCATAGTCTTGGATCTAAACAAATGGAGGGCTCCTTCCAATCCCTTCTACCTGCAGCTCTGGCCCGGTTCCATCCACTCCATCTGCAGGCCCTGCACTTGTTCCACCCAGTGTCCCTCTCATTCCACCCCCGCTCTTTACTGCAGCCCAAGATCGGAGACACTTTGTCCCCCTACCAGAGCCCCAGGCTGCAGTGGGGAGTGAGAGTTTCTCCAGCCCTGAGGCTATGGCAGGTATTGAGAGTTCTTCCAGTCCCAGGGATGCAGCAGGAGTCCTGGTGCTGGGGTCAGCTCCTCCCTTCCACACCACGTGCTTCTGTGAGGGACCAGGGTCAGTGTCCTGCGGCTACTACTGCCCACCTGGTGCTTCTGCTGGAGAGTGGGGCAGGAGAACTTCCTCACCATCCCTTGGTTTCTGCCTGGGATAGGCCTTCCCCTGCTGTCCCATGGCTTCTGCCCAGGAGCTGTTGGAGTGCCACCTGCCTGGTGCTGCTGCCATCAAGGGTAGGGATGCTTCCCCCACCCTCCCTGCCCAGCTCTGAGGCCTAGGAGCTGGATTTGTATGTGGGGGCAGGGTGTGCCTTCCAAGCACTGCTGTCTGGGTGAGGGGTCATAGAATCCTAGGGCTGCAAGAGACCTCAGGAGGTCATCGAGTCCTGCCCCGTGCCCAAAGCAGGACCAACCCCAACTAAATCATCGCAGCCAGGGCTTTGTCAAGCTGAGACTTAAACACCTCTAGGGATAGAGATTCCACTACCTCCCTAGGTAACCTACTCCAGTACTTCACTACCCTCCTAGTGAAATAGTGTTTCCTAATATCCAACCTAAATCACCCCTACTGTAACTCGAGACCATTGCTCCTTGTTCTGCCATCTCTCACTACAGAGAACAGCCTCTCTCCAATTTCTTTGGAACTTCCCTTCAGGAAGTTAAGGCTGCTATCAAATCCCCCTCACTCTTCTCTTCTGCAAACTAAATAAGCCAAAATCTCTCAGCCTCTCCTCATAAGTCATGTGCTCCAGCCCCCTAATCATTCTGGTTGCCTCCGCTGGACGCTCTCCAATGCGTTCATATCCTTTCTATAGTGGGGGGCCCAGAACTGGACACACTATTCTAGACGTGGCCTCATCAGAGCTGAATAAAGGGGAATAATAACTTCTCTAGATCTGCTGGCAATGCTCCTCCTAATGCACCCTAATATGCCATTAGGCTTCTTAGCTACAAGGGCACACTGCTGACTCATATCCAGCTTCTCATCACTGTAATATCCAGGTCCTTTTCTGCAGAACTTCTGCTTAGCCAGTCTGTCCCCAGCCTGTAACAGTACTTGGGATTCTTTTGTCTCTGCACTTGTCCTTGTTGAACCTCATCAGATTTCTTTTGGCTCACTCCTCCAATTTGTCTAGGTCACTTTGGACCCTATCGCTGTCCTCCAGCATATCTATCTCTCCCCCTAGTTTAGTGCCATCCGCAAACTTGCTGAGGGTACAATCCATCCCCTCATCCAAGTCATTAATAAAGCTGTTGAACAAAACTAGCCCTAGAAACAATCCTTGGAGCACTCTGCTTGAAACCAATCATCAACCTGACCTCAAGCCATTGGGCAGTTTTCCCTGCCTCCAGTGCACTGTGGCCAGGTGTTTGGGGCCCTCAGGCACAGGCCCTTTTGGCTCAGTAGCTAATTTGTGAGTGGGTGCAGTATAGAAAATGCAGGAACAACAGCTTGCCCGGAGAGAATCAGTTTCTTTTGTAATCTAACTGCTTGGGTTGCAGGGGGACCAAAAGTGTTTTACCATCTCATGAGTGGCCAGTATGGAATGAGATGGTAGGTTCGTTTCAGTTCACAGTGGACATGTGTCCACACGTCACAAAACGATCTTGACGGCATTCTGTCCACGGCTGAGAACTGGAGTCAGGCGGAACCAATTGCCCTCCTTTCTCTAGAACAGGGGTGGACAATAATTTTTAAAGGAGGCCACTTCAAAAATTTCGAAATGGCTCTTGGGCTGGGCCTTGGATTGAAGGGATGGGGTCAGCAGACTTTTCATGCTCCCCCCCCTCCGCCCACAGACCCTGATTGGCCTGGGGGCGGGGGAGTGTGTGAAGTCTTTGCCTCCTGCCCCTGGGACCTAGAGAGACTTGCCAGCTGTTTTGAACAGCTGGATGTTCCCTCTGGTGCTGCGCACTCCTGGCAGTGGGAAGAGACTTCACATGCTGACCCATCCCAAGTCTCGATTGGCCTGGGGGTAGGGGAAGCAGCAGGGCAGCTGTGAGCCGGATCAGCGCACTTGATGGGCTGGATCCGGCCTGCAGAGGCTCTATTGCTGACTCCAAAGCAGGGTTGTGGGAATGTTGGCAGAGAGGTGTAGAGAAGCTTGCACTGCTGCTGCCGTGCTGTGCCCATGTATCCTTCTCCAGGCTTGTCAGGCACCTTAACAAACATGGTATTTGCTGAGATCATTAAAACGACTCTTTCATACACTATTGGACTTGCAGGAGTAGGTGGTGCGTTGGAAAACGATGACCCTTCCAAAATGGTTATGGTGCTGGCTGCTACAAACTTTCCCTGGGACATTGATGAAGCATTGCGCAGAAGATTAGAGAAACGGATTTATATTCCTTTGCCAACGGGTATGACTGCTACAAGCATTTTTCTTTAATTTTTTTTTTCCTAGCAAACTTGTTCTCCACTGTATCTCTTAGGATTGTTAAGACCAAGGATATTTCTGTTCTAAATATTGCATTTTGGGGGTTAATAACTTGACTGTTTGCTTTCTTTAAAAAAATTGCTTGGAGCTCAGAAACAATGAGCTGTGGTATTTCATTGCAGACCCATTGATGGGTTCTTACGTTTTGAAATCAAATTAGTTTTTATGAGCCTGGAATTATTTTAAATGTTGCAGTCAGTCCTTGAGTGATCATCAAAAGCAGCCTTTGACGTTTTATAAGAAATATTGCAAATGTATTCCTATGCCCTTACAGATGAATGCAGAGAAATGGATCCATGAATTATCACTTCCAGGCTTAGCACATTGTAAATCATCACTTGCCAGCCTTTATGCATAGACTTCAAGTCACCCAAACTGTAGCCATCTGATTGCTTTCCAGCTCAAGCTGGCTTGGCTTGTATTGTCAATCCTGGCTGTCACTCGTATACCCTAAGAATCTTGAAATTAATATCACTTGAAGGGTGTATAGCTTTGTTTCTTCTTGGTACCATGGATGCCTTTTATCGCTGCATGAGCATCCAAGATAACAAGTGTCTTCATGGTGACAGCAATTGTGATTGAGTTTAACAGGTGTAAGGATGATGTTAAAGGTACACAGCTTATCTTTGCAGCTCATGGACAGTAATAGCTCATAACGGGATGACTGACTTTATCGCCAACTAGTCTAAAATTCTATCAACTTGCTTGTTTTCAGTTGAACAAGATTAGCTTGTGATGTAACTTAATATGCCCCATGCTTCTTACACAGGGTGGATTGCCACTAGTTGTGAGTATACATTATATCATCTCTTTCCGCATATGAGGAAATTAAGATCTGTGTATCTCCAGAGCTATGTCTACAATGCAATGCTATTTTGGGATGCTGGAGTATCCCAAAATAGCTATCCCGTATCTTAACAGCAGACCTTTTATTTCAGGCTCGCTATTCTGATGTCCCTGTAAACCTCATTCCATGAGGAGAAAGGGACATTTCGGTTATTTTGAAATTTGATGCTGTGTAAATAAGCTGAAATAAACTTTTGAAATAAGATATGCAATTTGTGTAGCTCAAATTGTGTATCTTATTTCGAACTACAGTGCAGTGTAGATGTAGCCCAGATGATCTGTTTACACTGATGCTTTGTAGTTTGAGATCACAGGGATTTCAGTTGGGAAAAGTTTAAACAACACAAATAAACTATAGGATCTGGTGTAGTGCGAATTGTATAATGTGGGGTTTTTAAAAAGACATAAGACCTTGGGAAAAATTAGCAAAATATTCTGGTTTTAAGAAACAATTTGCATGTGTGCTATGTATGCATCCTGCCGTGTTCTGGAAATAATAAATAACCATTCTAAAGAAAATGTCTTCTAAAGAAAATGTCCTTTCTGGGACATAAGTAATTTGTAAGGCACTTAAATACTATAGGAGCATAAATATTTATTTTTTCACTGTTCTCTGTTAGGTTCTTACGATTTTATCTGCTCATCTCGGTGCGTCCCCCCTCACAATGGTCATCCTCTGTTTTTAAGGCATCAGAACTAGTTACTGTAGAAATGAAGATGCTGATGTAATGTAAATTTTCCCTTGCGATACAAAACTGAAAAGAAACCCCCTCTCGCTTTTCACCCCAGCCCTTCAAAATAACACAAAGGGGCAAATGGTCAAGTGTGGGTTCCCAAATCATGAATGTAGGACTTGCATTTGCACATGCTGTGTGTGCAGAAAGGGTAAATTGTTTGTGTAAATAGGTACTTATTTAGTCCGTTACCATGCCGTGCACACTGCACCTGTGTTTTGAAAATTGGCCAATGCAATTAATTTCTAAATATAATTTCTCTGTTTTCTGTGAGGCTTCAGCATCTCTGTTGGGCCCCAGTTCAGCAAAGCACTTAAGCATGTATTAAAAGTTTAGCATCTGCTTAAGTGCTTTGCAAAATGCTCTCTCTACAGCTAAGTAAATGGAAATATTTCTGTCATCAAGTCTATGGTTTTCTAATAAAACTATGTATATAATGTTCAGTCCAACTTCTGAATAAAAAGGCGTGTCCTAGGGGTTAGGAGTAGAATCAGAGGTTTGTAGGATCACACTTTTGTGTCTTGTGAGAATAAATATTCCCCAGTGGTCAGCCGTGTACATTGAGAATATGATGTACAACAAGGTATATGGTGAGACCAGAGGTGGCATCTATTTGCCTCAGGCACATTGTGAAGAATGAGGCAAATGGCTAAGTGGCTTCAATCACGTGAAGTGTAAACACTTAGTCTGTGTACTTTTTGAACTGGTTCTGGGTTTATGAAGTGTTTATACAGTATATTTTTCAACTATATGTTCTGCCAAAAATAGATATGAAGGGGATCACTCACAGTACATACTGCCTAGTGTGCGGGTGAGGCATGCCAGGTGTTCTTGTCTTTCCTGGCACCCGCTGTTGAGAACTGCTCTATGTTTGGTGGCATGCTCCTTCTGTGACTCATCCCTCCTGCTGCGGGTCATGTTCTGTCCACCCCTTGTGAGGTATATGAAGAGTCCAGCAATGGAGCAGCCATCTAAGTAAAGTAAAGGGCTCCTGGGCCAGGGACTTGACCCTTTTATTTTTAGAGCCTTCTCTCATCTAGATTGTGCATCATGGTTAGACTTCTGGCTGTGATACCTCTAGCCTAAGGGATGATAGGACAAGCTGGGACTGCCCTCTATACTGGCTTCCAGTCCAGAGCTCAGTAGGTAGTAGCTACTACCTGCACCCCAATGTGTTATATTTCTGCTTCTCTGGGTCACTTTTTACTTGTCACTGTTTTTTACAACAGATAAAGTACAGTAGAACCTCCGCGTTACGAATACCAGAGTTATGATTGGACCACTCAACCATGCATTTGGAACCAGAAGTACACAGTCAGGCAGCAGCAGTGAAAGGGGCAAAACCCGCACACACTGTACAGTGCTGGGTGAAATGCAATCTTTTTTTTTTTTTTTTTAAATGGGACAGCAGCATTTTCCTTCTGCATAGTGAAGTTTCAAAGCTGCATTCAGTCAATATTTAGCTGTACATTTTAAAAAGAAACTAACACTTTGTTCAGAGTTATGACAAACTTCCATTCCTGAGCTGCTCATAACTCCGAGGCTCTACTGTATAAAAAAAAATCACTGGAATCAAAGATATCCTCAAACCTTCAGAGAATCTCAGCAAAGTTCCCTCTAATCTTGTCCATCCATGTGTGGATTTTTCCCATCCATCTGTGGAATACAAGGCATGTGTGAATGTGCTCCACCAGTAGAAACAAAAAAACCTAGCTGTGGGTACTCTGCTAGTCAGCTGGGTGGCATTTAAATCTCTCCTGAGTAGCTGCATAGGTGAACAGCTCACGGGGAATAATGATCTCAGATCTTTTCCCTTTGAGGGTGGCAACTTCACCAAAGGCAGGTGGCAGGCAGCAGGGGCTCCTGCAGTGCTCCTTCGCAGGAACTCAAAGTACATCAGTTTCCCTCCACTGTATGCTGCCTTACTAAGCGGCTAATTCCTGTTGTGCTCCTTCTCTAAGCCATGCATTCTTTGCAGCTATGGCCTGGGAAGGCTGTCTGGGTTTGCAGCAGCTGCTTACCCCTTCTTTAGTGATGCTAGGTTTGTGTGTAACCCATCAGAGTAACACTTTCCAGCTGTGGTTTCCCTTTAAAGACTAGATTGTGTTGATGTCTTTTTGTGTATATTTGTGTCATAGTGACTTGAACAAAAGTAATGTTCAGTGTTAAACAAGTGATTCTTGTGTTGTAGCAAAAGGCAGAGCAGAGCTGCTTAAGATTAATCTTCGGGAAGTAGAGATGGATCCTGATATCCACCTAGAAGAAATTGCTGAGAAGATCGAAGGCTACTCGGGTGCTGATATAACTAATGTTTGCAGGTATCTTGTTCACTTTATTTGCAAACAAATATAAAATCAGTAGTTGTTACTCAGTAAAAGAGAGCAGCATCAGGCCCTACACACAGTATTCGAAAGCAGACTAGTAGCAACTATGCTTAAGGCTTGAATACATTTGCTAGCACTCTCCAGTACAGTAGTATGATTCTTAGAAACCAAGAGTCTGTGTACCAGATGTGATGGTGTCTGCTATGGTCATGGGAGAACAGACAGCCTGAGCAAATGTTTTGTTACCATTGTCTGCTTTCACTGACTCCTGTTTTAATCTAGTATAAAGCCAGGTTGTTGGGTTTTTTTAAACCTGGTGGATTTAGGAGCTGGAATTTTGTGCTGCAGAAAGAAACAAGATATTTTATTGATTCCTATATAATGTTTTCTATTGCAGTAGTGTCCAGAGACCCAGTCAGTGCTCAGATGTTCTTTGTGCTACATAGAGCTGGCTGGAAACTAGAATCCCTATTCCACAGGAAATTCCAATTTTTTAAAAAATATATTGCTTTGGAACAATTAAATTTCCTGCAGAACAGGAATTCCAAAATTTGATTTTGAAAGAGTCAAAACAACATCTTTCTTTGATCCTTTTGAAACATGTCAGCAGCTTCCTCCTCTCACAGGAGCACTGTCACTGCCAGGCGGGGAGATGGGCACCTCTGGGCCCATGAAAGCATGGCTGCCAAGGAGCCACAAACCTGGGAGCTTGGGATCTGAGACTTCCAGGGCTTCCTGATTCCCTAGGAGCTGCAGAATGTGTTGTTACTACAGATTGTTTCACTATAGAAGAATCAGCATTTTCTAATAGAAAAATGTTCTACTGGAAAACTTGGAATCCATTCTGTATGGATTTCCTTCCTGCCTAGAGGAACTTACACTTCTGAACATGTCTCAAGGATATGGCCACCCATATTTCTATGATTAATGGCCATTCACCTATGTTGAAATTACTCCAGAGTTTTAAAATCTTTGTGTTGAACGTAGCAATACTTAGGCTAAATGTTCTCCCTCTGGCCTGTGTTCTCTCTTTTCCTTTTCCTTCATTGTACCTGCTAGACATGGCCACAATTGGTGAGCAGAGGTTATAAAGGGGCAAGGGAAGAGTCTACCAGGAGAGTAGAGCATAAGGAGCTACTGGCATCAGTGGCCACAGCTCTGTGCATTCATATTTCATAAGTGTTTTTTGACTGCCACACTGCACTTTCCGGACTAAGGAACCCTGCCAAAACTGGGAGCAGGGCTAAATTGCATGTCACACTGCTACTGGCTCCCCCACCAGGGACTGCACACTGCTAGGGAGGCTGAAGCCAGTGGGTGCTGCAACAGATGGGAATAGAAGGCCCCAAGTGTTTCAAAAAGAAGGGAGAGCTAAGCACCTTTTTTTTTTTCTCATGAGTTAAGTGCATTGAAGACACAGGATACATCTCCATGAATCATTGTAAAAGGTTTACAGTTTTATCATTTTAATTATCTCTTCACATTTACCATATGCCTAATTGGATTTGGGCACCAATGCATTCTTTACATCAAATGAATGTAGTGATCTTGGAACATGGAAGTAAAGAAAGATTCATTCCACATTTTAGAAATTAATGCTTTCCTAAGTGTTCCTTCCAGTGAAGCCTGAAAATATAATCAAAATTCATAGCCACACACTTAGTTCCCATGTATTTTCCTTTTATTTCCAGGGATGCCTCTTTGATGGCAATGAGACGGCGTATTAACGGGTTAACCCCAGAAGAGATCCGTGCACTTTCTAAAGAGGAACTTCAGATGCCTGTTACGAAGGGGGACTTTGAGCTGGCGCTGAAGAAAATCTCCAAGTCTGTTTCAGCTGCAGACCTAGAAAAGTATGAAAAATGGATGGCGGAGTTTGGATCTGCTTAACCTCAGAGACATCTCTTCTTTGCTATAGATTTTTATCCTTTTTCTGTTGTAAACTGTAAAATGACTTAGAAATGTTTTAAAAGGTGGAATAAAAGGTTTGATTTGTTTTTCAAATTCTTCCCTCCCCCCCTTTTAAAGTTTTGTTATGCCTGAAAGGAACAAAAATGGTAACCCACAAAAGATGCTTTCTGATTGAATAGTAAACATGCATACATAGCAAGCGAAAAATACACTTTTGAATATAAGCTGCATGTTTCCACTGAATGTCAGTGTTCCTTATTTTAACATACTAGTTTGACATAGTGCAGATCTGTAAATCAGACATTGGGAAAGTGATGAAAGAAGCTAGCAAAGACTTGTTGTACATCTTATTTGCAGAGATCACTACATTTCTAGTAAGCATCAGTTTTTGTGCCCTTATATGTGGCACTGGAGTTATTGGTTGGTTGCTGCTGCTTCTCTGTTCATTAGATTGTTCTGAGCAAAGTAGATGGGTACAATTGTCTTTGTTTACAATAAGCGGGGATCAGTTTGCATCAAGACTCAAATTGTTCATGATTTTGTTGGAAATTTTCAGCCTGATTTTCCTCACGCTCACCAATTTTACACTGTTGTAACATCACAGACTTTTGTTGTGTTACTCCTGACTTTACACTAGGGGAAGTGAAAGAAAAATCAGGGCACTTGATTTCTTTTGGTCAAGCTTAGGCCTGGTCTAAATATACATTTGTGCCAGTTTATCCAAAGTTGTGATTTTGGGCTGATTTTTAGTTTACCCTCTACTCTTGCACTATTACTCATCCCCCGATATTTTGTTTGTGTTTTCTAGATATTTTTATTATTATTTATTAAACACTGATATTGTGTTTGACTCAATTCAAGACTCTAATACCAAGCTGTTCCTGCTCCTAGAAAGCAGACACAGGACATGGAGCTCTCGTTTCATGACATTTGTTTATGCTGTGGAATTGTTTTTGCAGTTGAAACTATTTTATGTTGTTTTTTTAAATGTGTAAAAAGTCTTTGACTTGGAAAATGATTAATTTCAGCAGATCGTCTCTCTTCTACACTCCCTCTTGCCCACCAAGCCAATGTAGTGCTGAAAATGATGAATTTGCAGCTTCAAAGTATGAAGTTCTCTGTCCCAGAGTGTAGCAGCTGTCCCACTGGAAGTGGTGTGCTGGTCTCTCTCCACGTGAGTTTGTTTGTGGCTCTCGTATCTGATGTACCAGAGCTTCCTAGCAACAGAGAGAGTTCAGTTTCAATGGCCATCTTGTCCTTAGCCTCTCTGTCAATAAGGTTGCCAATTGTGACAAAGGGGATTGTAATTATCAACCTGTTTTTTAGAAATCAGACCAAGTCCCCTTTTCATATAATCACCAAACTGCTATGGCATGGAAGCAACTTCTTGCTAGTATTGACTTTGACCATATCTAGAAAAGATCTTTCTACCAATATTGCTTCTTGTAGCTAGCCAGTCCCTTCATAGTACCTGTTGGACATGGGTAGAATTGCTAGTGCAAACACAGCTCTGGTACCTCACCCATTCATTTGTTAGGAGGGGAAAGAAGTCTAGGATTTATTCTAAACCATTCTACAGCATATAACTGGTTACAAGGGCTACATTTGCCATAGTTCTACTATGGATTTATTATCTGTTGATATCGGACGTAGACTGATAACACCTTAGGCAGAGCTTGTGAATAGTACGGTTTGCTCTTTTCAAACTGAGGGCTGCTCTAATTTGAATGGAAAAACCTAATAAATGTTCTGATGATGACTCTCATTCATGTTGTGTTGTACTTCTGTTTGAGCTCAGCTGTCATTCTTCTGGCTTAGGCCCCTGGGACAGACTTCGGCACGATGCTTTTGGTCTTTGGCAGTCCAACGGGAGCACAGCTGCTGCAGAACCCTCCAAAGGTGCTGCATTCATTCCAGAGACCAAAGTCCTGCTGCCCTTTACCACTGTGGGGGGAGGCTATGGGGCTAAGGGAACACATGGACTCTCATTGTGGTCATCCCTTGCATGGTGGAGAGAGAAGGCTCTATTTGCCTTCTTTCCCCTGCTCATTGCCCTTTGCATAAGAATGAATGCCACCCCTACGGAATATTTGAGCATTTCCTGGGGAGAAGTAAAGCTTTTAAAAAATGGCAAGCTTCCATAATTACTCCTTGTGCCTTCATGGGTGGTGAAGCTGTCAGGCATTGCACTCTCCTGTAATTACTGTTGTCTCTTTGATCTTTCTTATTCTTTCATGTGACTACTACCTAGACAACACAGAAATTAAAGGACCCAATGAGATTCTCTAATTAGTACTACTAGAGTAGTGCCTTGGTACCCCATTGTGCCAGGCACCATACAATCAGAAAGAGTCAGCCCCTGCCAGAAGAGCTTACAACCTAGGCAGACAGAAGACTGGGAAACTAGAGGTAGGAAGTGACTTGTCCAAGGCAGTGCAGCAGCTCTGTGGTAGAGCTGGGAATAGAAGCACTTCTGACACCAATTGGGTACCCTATCTGGTAGAACATGCTGCCCTCTTCTGTGGGTCCCTCTTGTAACAAAAGTCTCCTTTGCTACTATGTTTGGCTTGGGTTAGTGGTCTCAGTAAACAGCAGGGGGAATCATAGTCATGGATTTTTCTCTTCCACCTCTTTGAACTCTGATCAGTGTTTTGGGCTTAGAATGTTACACTTCAGCCCAAAATATGCACATGTTCTTTTGCATCGTGGGAGTCGGTGTCTCGCCTGCCAATGAGAGCGCTGGGAGGATAGGGTGATCTTAGGATAGGTTTCATTATCCTTGGTTCCTCTCTCAAATAGTCACTTTAATGTGCTAAAGCTACCTCATCAGAGCCATCTGTGAAACAAAATTCACTGTGATGGGGACTGTTAAAGATTCAAACACCTTTTGAATCCATCCACACGTGCAAGGCAAATATGTTATATCACTGAGCTCGGCATCATGAGCCTTATCTCTCCTCCACCTCGATTAATTTTCTCGTATCCCTTATAGAAATGTATTTCACAGCTGCAGTACAGACTTGTGAAACTGCCTCCATCACAGATTTTATTAATTATCTATTCTGGTAGTGCTCAGAGGCCCTAGCCAGGATCCCATTGTAAAACCCCACCAAAGAATCTGAGTGCTGCACTGACTTTTTGACAAAGTCCTAATCATGCATTGTAGCTGCCCGCATTTGGACCCTTGAACCAGCACAAAGCCTCCCTGAGGCCAATAGGGACTTTGCTAGAGTCCATCTCACCTACCAGCTTGCAGGATATAAGTCCGAATCTCTGCAATTGTGACACAGTAAGTCATAACTTTCATTTGGTGATATCTGCCAGGTCCAAATGAACCTCTATCTGGTACATTTTGTGTGTATATTTTTTTGTTCAGTGTGGCCTCTCAGTGTTTTATATCTAAATTACAGGTCTTGCTTTCCAAGCATCTGTGAACATCTCTCCTGCTGGCACCATTAATGTAACATTAATAAATGAGTTGTGTTGATAAATATGGAGAATTTTTCTGTTTGCTCTTGCAAATGTTTTCCCGGTGTTCAATCTAAGAATCTCCCGTGCTAAAGTGAGATGTTTCAGCATGTGATGTTGACATTTGGATCACTAAAACCCTTGACAGCCAGGGCTTGATGTTCATAGAAGTAAGAGTAACTCACCTTGTGCAGTAACGGTGCTTCTTCGAGATGTGTCCCTGTGGGTGCTCCACTCTGGGTGCTGGTGTGTCCTCGCGTTGGCGACCGGATATCTTTCTAGCTGTTTCCACTGCGCTGCACATGCGCCAGAGCGCCCCCGTATCGTTGGAATCCGTTAGGCATGCGTGTGGCGCGGCTCCTCTGTTCCTTCTGTACCCGTCAGAACCAAGGGCTCCAAGTCAGGGAAGGAGGGAGCACCCACGGGGACACATCTCGAAAAAGCACTGTTACTGCACAAGGTGAGTAACTCTTTCTTCTCCTACGAGAGGTCCCCATGGGTGCTCTACTCTGGGGGTATGTCTACTCTGCCACTCTAGTTCGAACTAGGGTGCCTAATGTAGGCATTCGAAGTTACAAATGAAGCCCGGGATTTAAATATCCTGGGCTTCATTTGCATCTTGCCGGGCGCCGCCATTTTTAAAACCCCCTTAGTGCGGACTCTGTGCCCACGGCTACATGCGGCACGGAGTAGGTAGTTCAAATTAGGCTCTCTAATTCGAACTACTGTTACTCCTCGTACCGGTAGTTCGAATTAGAGAGCCTAATTTGAACTACCTACTCTGTGCCATGTGTAGCCGCTGGTACGGAGTCCGCACTAAGGGGGATTTAAAAATGGCGGCGCCTGGCAAGATGCAAATGAAGCCCGGGATATTTAAATCCCGGGCTTCATTTGCAACTTCGAATGCCTACATTAGCCACCCTACTTCGAACTAGGGTGGCAGTGTAGACATACCCTGGGTGACTATACAGCAGTTGTTGACCCAAGGAGGTGGGTTTGGAGCCCTGTGTTAATCACTGTGGACAATACTGCCTGTCCTACTGCCATGGAAGATGCAATTGAGGAAGAGAGAGCATAATGTTGTGCAAAAGAGTGGTCCAAGGACCAGGTTGCAGCATTACAGATATCCTGTAGAGGGACGTTGTTGAGGAAGGCGGTAGTGGAGGACATCGCCTTGGTGGAATGTGCTGTAATCGTTTCAGGTAAGTCTTTGTTGTAAAGTACATAACATGTTCGGATGAACGAAGACATCCATTTAGAAATCCTCTGTAACGAGATCGCCTGTCCTTTGGACTGTTCCACATACGACAAAAAAAGTCTCGGAGAATGTCGCCATGGTTTGGTGCGGTCAAGATAAAAAGCAAGCGCCCTGCGGGTATCCAGAGTGTGCCAAACTGTTTGAACTGGATTGGCATGAGGCTTAGGAAAAAAGTAGGCAAGTGTATAGGTTCATTGACATGAAAGGGCGAAAGGACTTTGGGGAGGAATTTAGGATGTGGTCGAAGTATCACCCTATCTTTAGTGAATACTGTATAAGGGGGATCAGCCATCAGTGAGGCGAGTTCACTCACCCTTCTACTGAAGGTTATCGCCACGAGGAATGAGACTTTCAGGCTACGTCTACACTGGCCCCTCTTCCGGAAGGGGCATGTAAATTTCACGATTCGTCGTAGGGAAATCCGCGGGGGATTTAAATATCCCCCGCGGCATTTAAATAAAAATGTCCGCCGCTTTTTTCCGGCTTTTAAAAAAGCCGGAAAAGAGCGTCTAGACTGGCCCCGATCCTCCGGAAAAAGCGCCCTTTTCCGGAGGCTCTTATTCCTACTTCAAAGTGCAAGTGCGTTCCTGTTCATCTCCCATTCGTGTTGATTGTGGAATGTACGACTTAGGGCATCTGCCGTGACATTGAGCACTCCAGATAGGTATGAAGCTATGGGGGTAACATAGTATGTAAAGCACCAATTCCAGAATCTGATGGCTTCCATGCAAAGGGAGTGGGATCGCGCCCCTCCCTGTCGGTTGATATAGTACATGCAGGTGGTAATGTCTGTCATTATGGAAATGGACTTGTGAGCTATGTAGGATTGGAAATGTTGGCATGCATACCTGACCACTCACAACTCAAGAAGGTTGATATGTAAGGTTTGTTCCATAAAGGACCATTTGCCTTGAACTGTGATGGTGCCTAGGTGAGCTCTCCAACCCATGAGTGATGCATCTGTCATGATAGTGAATGTGGGAGAAGGTCGATGGAACGATACGCCTTCTAACATATTTTTGGGGTTCGTCTACTATTGCAGCGAGTTTAGAATGCAAGGTGGTATAGTTAGTCGTTTGGAGAGAGAATCTCTGGAGGGCTTGTAAGTCGTGGCTAACCATGACTGAAGGCCTCTCATATGAAGTCTGGCGAGCTCGACCATATATGTCGTGGAAGCCATATGCCCTAGAATCTTGAGACATTCACGTACCATCGTGGTAGGAGCTAATTGTGCACTCCTGATAAGATTGCGCATTGTGTTGAATCTGTGAATGAGTAGAGTGGCCCTTGCTGCCATGGTATCGATGAGTGCACCTATGAACTCCAACTTCTGTGTTGGATGTAATGTGGACTTTGAGTGATTTATGTGGAAGCCGAGATTGGTGAGGGAGGTTATGGTAATATCGATCATGTCCTGGGTCTCGCGGAAGGATGATCCTTTTATGAGGCAGTCATCCAGGTATGGAAAAATAATGACTCCTTGACGACGTAGCGAGGCCATTATGACTGCCAAGGTTTTGGAAAAAACTCTGGGAGCAGTTGAAAGGCCAAACGGGAGCACTCTGTACTGGTAGTGTCGGATGCCCACTTTGAATTGTAGAAAACGTCTGTGCACCGAATCGATGGTGATATGAAAGTAGGCGTCTTGAAGGTGGAGCGCCGAAAGCCAATCTCCTTGATCTAGAGCAGGGATGATGGATGCTAAAGTAACCATTTTGAAACGGTGGTAAGCAACGTACTTGTTGAGTCTCCTGAAGTCTAATATGGGACGCCACCCTCCATTCTTCTTCTGCGTTAGGAAGTAAGTTGAATAGAAACTCCGACTATGGAATTCCATTGGAACTTGTTCCACAGCCCCCAGTTGTAGTAGATGTGAAACCTCCTGATGAAGGAGGGTTTTGTGAGATGGGTCCCTGAAAAGGGACGGGGTAGGGGGAAGGGTGGGGGCATAGAGGTAAAAGGGATTGCATAACCCTGTTGGATCAGTTGTAGGACCCATCTCTCTGATGTTATATGAGTCCATTGATGGTAAAAAACCCGGAGTGGATGATGGAATTGAGGAGGCTCAGGCATATCTTTCAAATGTGTTGTTTCATTGCAGGTGGGTGGGTTGTTGCTGAGCGTTGCTGTTGCTGTCGTTGTGGTCTATGACGTTGTGGTCTCTGTCTTTGCCTGAAATCGTACCGAGGTTGCTGACGGAAGGACTCCCTAGGTCTCTGGTAAGTCACAAATCTTGTTCTCTTCGTGGGGGGAAGGAGGGGCGGGTGTAGATCCCCAATGTCCTGAGTGTTGTCCATGAGTCTTTTATAGAATGCAACATCTCGTCTGTCTTGGCGGCAAAGAGGTTATTTTTATCAAAAGGCAAGTCTTCAACCTTTTGCTGTAAATCTCTGGAGACTCCGGAAGCCTGTAGCCATGATATTCTGCATAATACTATAGCTGATGCGGTAACCCGGGCTGTGGTATCTGCTACATCCATTGCGGATTGCAAGGCAGTACATGAGACTGCATGACCGTAATGCATTATACTGAGGAGTGTTGACCATTTATGTTCAGATAAGTGTTGTGCCAAGTCCTGGAGTTTAGAATAATTTGCGTGATCATAATCCGCAAGCATTGCCGTGTAATTTGCTGCTCGAAGGAGCAAGGTAGCTGAGGAACAGACCTTACGGCCCATAACGTCTATTCTCTTGTGATCTCTATCCTGTGTATCCTCTTTAGGTTAGGTTGTCTTCCTTTGTGACGAACCGAATCCACCACTAGGGAGTTAGGTGGTAGATGGGTGAAAAGGAAATCCGTATCCTTTGGTGCAATAAAGTACTTGCGGTCAGCCTTCTTGTTGGTGGGGGGAATAGACGCAGGAGTCTGCCAGATATTTTCGGCTGGGTCCATAATGGCCTCATCCCTAGGGATTGCCAGTCGAGAAGTAGTAGATGATTCCAGTGTCCGTAGGAGTTTATATTGTTTAACTTGTACCTTCTCTAAGTCCCTTTCCTGTGCTAGCGCCACCCTTTTAAAAAGATCATGAAATTTCCTAGAGTCATCACCGGATGGTGGGGCTTCCGGTGTGACAGCCTCATCAGGAGAGGATGAGGAGTTATGTAGCGGGGATCTGTCTTCGCCCTCTGAGGGAGAATCCTGTGTCTCAGAGCGGCTTGGGGAATTTGGCTCTGTCATGGACGCAGTTAGAGGTGGCGAAGCCGGTCTCCTGTGGCCCATAACGTCTATTCTCTTGTGATCTCTATCCTGTGTATCCTCTTTAGGTTAGGTTGTCTTCCTTTGTGACGAACCGAATCCACCACTAGGGAGTTAGGTGGTAGATGGGTGAAAAGGAAATCCGTATCCTTTGGTGCAATAAAGTACTTGCGGTCAGCCTTCTTGTTGGTGGGGGGAATAGACGCAGGAGTCTGCCAGATATTTTCGGCTGGGTCCATAATGGCCTCATCCCTAGGGATTGCCAGTCGAGAAGTAGTAGATGATTCCAGTGTCCGTAGGAGTTTATATTGTTTAACTTGTACCTTCTCTAAGTCCCTTTCCTGTGCTAGCGCCACCCTTTTAAAAAGATCATGAAATTTCCTAGAGTCATCACCGGATGGTGGGGCTTCCGGTGTGACAGCCTCATCAGGAGAGGATGAGGAGTTATGTAGCGGGGATCTGTCTTCGCCCTCTGAGGGAGAATCCTGTGTCTCAGAGCGGCTTGGGGAATTTGGCTCTGTCATGGACGCAGTTAGAGGTGGCGAAGCCGGTCTCCTGTAAGTTGTTGAAGGAGGATGATGATGACTTCGCTTTGGTCTTGGCTCACATGGCTGCCATTGAATAGCGTATGGCGGGGGGGGGGAAATATATTTTTGAGCATACCATGGTGGTGGCAGAGGTGGGTATGCATACTGTGTGACCGGATGCTGCCAGGAAGGTCTGTGGACAGGACTGGAATGTTGGGAGGAGAATCTATTCCTAGGTTCCGTGCCTGCATTGCTTGGAGACCGTGAGATGTGGGACGATCTACCTGAATGAACTGACTGCACCGAAGAAGTTGGTAAAGTCGGTGCTAGCGGTGAACGGCTCTGTACCGGGGAATGATAGCGCGCATCATGGTGGCTCGGTGCCGAGGCGTAGGAGTTGCTCAGTGTCGATGGCGGTGCTGAGCGACACAGGGGCGGCATGTTGGTGCAGGGTTTCTCCACAGTCTGTGCCGGCACCTGGTGCCGTGGTTGTTTCAGTACCGAGCATTCCTTATGGCCTGCCGGTGCCGAGGACAAGGTCGATGCCGTTGGCACTGGTGGTGCCGATGCTTTCTGTCTCGGCTCAAAGTGCGCTCGCTTGTGTGGTGCCAGTGTTTTGGCCGAAGCCGTACCAGACGTGCCCGGCTTGTCCGCGTGCTAACCCGTGAGGCTGAGGACGCCGAGGGTAGCGAGCGGGTCAGGGAACTAGACGTTCTTGATGCCGCCGGGGTAGACTGGGCAGAGGGACATGACTTGTCCGTACCCTTGGTCAGAAAGGCCATTTCTGGAGCCGCTGGTGGGTTGTCAAATGGAGGTTGGAGAGACTTCTCGTAAAGAATTGTTTTCAGCCTATTAGCCCGGTCCATCTGCGCTCTGGAGGTTAATTTTGAGCAGTGCTGGCACTTCTGAGTCTGGTGGGATTTGCCAAGGCACTTAATGCATTCAGCATGTCCATCAGACACAGGCATGGCATCCCGGCATGTCTGGCACCTTTTAAATCCAGGAGAACCCGGCATGAGGCACGGGAAACAAGTGGCAAGCTGCAACGAGAGAAAATAAATAAATAAATAAATATACAAATAACTATAGCCTGGGGTAGATTAGGGTAAGGAAAACATGGAATATGAGATAACTATGGGAATTAACCAGGGTTTCAATCTATTTTTTTAAACTAAGATGAAGAGGAGAAGAAGCTCCGTCTATTGCCAAGGACAGTAAAGAAGGAACTGAGGAGCCGCACCGTGTGCGCACCTAACAGATTCCAATGACACAGGGGGGTGCTCTGGCGCATGCGCGGCGCGGTGGAAACAGCTAGAAAGATCTCCGGTCGCAGGCACGAGGACGCACCAGCACCCAGAGTGGAGCACCCACGGGGACCTCTTGAAGGAGAATCTGTGTTTTGATCTAACCCGCAGCCAGACTTTTCATTCTCAGCTCGCTTTTTGTGGCCACAAGCTATAAAACAGTGTATGCTGAATGGCTGATGCTAATGGAGGAAATGGGGAAGACCATCTCTGATTTTCAGCAGAGAATTAATGCCCTGCTCAGACCTCACACAGCTGGTCAGCTTTTACTTTATTACCTGCTCCAGAGGCCTGAAAGTCTAGTCTATGATTAACGGCTTGCTAATCAGGTCTTTGAAAGGAGTAGGCTTCAGTAACTATCAGGATAAGACACATGGCAGAACTGCAGGGCTGGGCAGTGGGTGAAGCTGTTGTCTGGGGAGGTAAGTTCCCTAGGATGTGGCCCAGCCCATATTCCACTCCTGCTGTGCCCAGACCTCATCCCTTCCCAGTCTCCCTTCTCTTTCCTCCCCTTCCCTGCTCATCCCTTGCAGCCAAATCCCTGAACCCAAATATAGCAAATGACATTTGAAAAAAAAACCCCACTCTTCTACAATGTCTTTCTAAAGAAAATAGAGCATGTTTTCCATTGCTTGCCAGATTGTGAAGACTGGACATGCAAAAGGTGCCTCATTAAAAGCACTACATTTCAAAATAAAAGTGTCAGTCACCATTTTTTTTTATATACCCTAAAGTTTGTCAGAGATTTGCAAAAACTTTGTAGTCAGGACAAGTTATCTGTTCTGCTGAATACAACATTAAATATTATGAGTAGTTTAGGGTGTTCCATAATGTTCATTGCTTTTAGAAAAAAACAACTCTAATTTTTTTGGTATGATTTCTGTAAACAATAGAAACTCATTTGTCCAGCTACCTGGAAGAAAAGAGGGGTGTCCATTGGAAGAGAGAAAAATTACAGCTAGGATGGATAGAAAGGACAGGAAGCCTTTTGCAGCAAATTTTTGTATGATAGTAATTAAAATTAAAATGTATATTTTAGATAAGGGTGGTCTTTTTGAATAACTTATTTTTAAAAAGTGTATGTCTAAAGATCCAAGCATTTAAGGCTAAAGCTGAATACTCAAACTGAGCATCTAAAAAATCTATGCAAAAATTTTTTAGACATGTGATTTTATATTCTTCAGCAACAAACTAATAAAATATTTAAAGCAAATGTTAAACTAAGACTAACAGGTTCTGATTAGATATTACAGGAATGCACAAATATTGTCTGTAAAGTCAGAAAGTGACAGCCTATACCTTTGGATTGATAAATGCTTATTAAATGGCTTCATTACCACTTTATTGACTCTTTCACAGGTTCAATGTTATGCTAAAAGGTCTGGCAATTTGGAAGGCTTTTCACTTTTAAAAGTTTCAGAGGGGTAGCCAAAGAAGTGGGCTGTGCCCATGAAAGCTCATGATATCATCTACATGTTTTGTTGGTCTTTACAGTGCTACTAAACTATTTGTTGTTTTTTAAGTTTTCACTTTTAAGTTACTAGATCTGCTCCAGAGGAAGACTCATTAGGCTGCTACAGCCTGCTGTGGGAGCCTGCAGGAAGACTTAAAATAGGGATAGGAAGAGGTGAAAGGTTGGGCACTAAGATCCAGAGAAGGCATTGACTCCCCTTGCCTCTTATACATGCCACCCCAGGCTTCCTGAGCCCAAGTTGTGAGAATTTATTTTCTAATTAAGTAAACTTTTTTAAAAGGTATTTTGTGGTCACATAACTCTCCAACACTTCAAAAATGGAACTTACTGGCAAAAGTTTTTTATCCATTCCAGCACCTGAAGGGAAGGTAATTTCACATAGAATCTGTAATACACTCATTTAAAAAGAGAGAATACAGATTATGGTACAACCCTTGTACTATGATGGTGCATGAATTTGCGCACACACACCTTGTAAAGAGAGAAAATGCACCAAACTATCTGAATAGTTAAACAATAAGATCATGCGAAACCAACAGAAGAGGAAATGTGTGTGTGTGGGGGGAACCTTCTTCAATTCTGGAATAAATTGTCCTGACTCAGGTACAGAAATGTAAACTGCAACTGTGGCCTGTGATTCCTATCTGTGATGCCAGCGCTTGGCACATTTAAAGCATGACTAACATGCAAATTATACTATTGCCCATTTGTGCATAAGTGTAAACCTGGCAGAGTGCGAAGTGTGAGTGGTACTCATTAGTCACCAGTGTATAATAAGTGGGTATAGTCATGGACGGATGAAGCCTGTTTTGACTCGGGTGTCTTCATAGCGAAAGCGCAAAGAGGGACCATTCCTAAGCCAGTGGCAGATGTGCAGCCAGACAGTCTCTCAATGTGCCTGGAATAAAACTTGTGTGGGTGGTGGGTACCGGCAGCATGGGGAGGCTGTGCCTCCCCAAAATAGCCTGGCCTGACCACACTTTAGCTCTTTGGTGTTCTGCCCAACCTGTGCTGGCTGAAGCTGGGACTGGCTGGCCTGCATCCTCCAGCAATGCAGGGCAGCTGGTGCTTGGGCAGCACACTCCACCCAGTGCTCCAGGGCTGGGGGTGCTATGACCCCAGTAGGGCTGAGGATGCTGTGACTCCGCACCACCTGGTGCTGGGGCCAAGGAATGCATTGGGTGTGGTCTATATGCTCCTGTAGGGTAAGGAGAAAGATGGGAAGGGGGCAGGATGGGGCCTCAGATACAAAGGGAGGGATCAGGGATCAGCCACCCCCAAGGGCTAGATCACCAGTCACAGCCACTAGTGATGGGGGCGAGAATTGCAGCAGTAATCAGCTATAGCCATGGGGTTGTCAGCTGAACAGAGAACTGGCTTCAGATTTCTTTCACACTACAGCCTACTTCTGTAATGGCCAAGAGCCTCAATGTTCCTATATCACCCACTGCAAACGTTGGCAGTTGAGCTGCTGCAGATAATAACAGGTTTGATAGTGTGGATGCTTGCCTTGTAAATTCGAAATAAGGGGAGTTATTCAAAATAACTCCCCAGTGTAGACATGCTCTTAGTTAACAGTTACTCACATGAGTAGTTCTGTTGGTGTGAATGTAACCAGGAATGGGAGAAAGTCTTTCTTTGGAAATAAAGAGGGATTGAACATGTTTACCTGAAGAAATCCGAGACTCCTCAAGTTGTTCTTTTCCACGGAGGCAGTGAAAATTTCCTTGCTTTTCCACCGCTTGCTTACTCAGCTGCTGTGCTGTGCTTTCTGAGCCTACTATGCCTTGAAATGCATGTAGATGTTTTCATGTCTCTTCACAGATGTCTTTCACACATGGATCGGTTCAACAGGCATCTATCTTGCTTAGCAGTGGGTGTTCCTGTCGAGGCTGCTGTGCCATTTATAATTGAACAGGTTGATTGTAGGAGAGCTTCCTAGCGAAATAAAGGTCATTAAGATGGTGTAGGTGAGAGGAAACGTGTGGAATAGCAATTGGGTGGAAAGTAACAGAAACCATAGCAACTCCATGAAGGGTTTATAAATATAACAAAAGAGATTTGCCTGAAGGAGCAGCTGTGCTGACAGCGAGCAGCAATGTGCATGTTGCTCAGAACAGTGCAATGTTCACCTCTGTGTCAGTCAGGACAAATTACTGTAACAAAATGTGTCTGCTTCTGAGACTGAAGGCAGGACTGCCCCTGTCATTACCTTCTTAGCCTGCCTGCTTTCTTAGCCCTGTGCCAGTCTCCGGGATAGGACTGCTAAAGATGCCAAAATGGCTCTCTCTCTCCATTAAGCTGCCCCGGAGTCACAGGCTCAGGAACTGCTTTCTATGAAGCCACACAAGGCTCTGGTGTAGCACCTCTGAGCACACTGTCACCAGGGCATGAAGCCTCTGCAGAGCTGGCTGCCTGGCATCAGAGTATTCAGCACCTCAGTTCTCACCAGGCACTTGCTGCAGTGAGGTCACCTGAATGGGACCCTTGGGGAAGCCATAGAAGCCATGCACTTCATCTTTGCAGTCCGCAGCGACTCTCAGCCAGTGCTATAAAGCCGAAGGGTTTATTAGTGCACAGGAATATCACGTAGCACAGAGCCTTCAGCAGAGGAGGCAGAAAAGTCCATCTTGGGGAAAGGGAAACCCAAGTCTTGGGGTCCTGGCCTTCTCCTTGAATCCAAAACAGGCAACCTGATTGGTTCCAGCCGCATGGCCCCAACCCACCATTGCTCCATCTCTTTCACAGGCCAGCAGGTCACCTGGTCTGCATCAATACAGTGTGGCCACAGTTGCCAGGCTACAAAGTGTTAGCAGCTCTCTGTTGCAGTCAGCAGTCATATCTATAGGGGTCGCTGCAATGATCACGTGCTCTTATCCCACCATCTGAATACCTGAGTTACACATCGGGGAAACTAAGGCACATGCACAATATTCAGAGAAGACATTAAGAACATTCCCACTTTGTCACATCAGCATATTTAATTTTCAGGGTGGATATTCTTTAAATGGCTCATTGGTGTTTACTGATATAACGGATCATGAATAAATAATAACAATACAATGATGTATTATTGTTGCACCTTGCAGCCTCATCAGAGATAAGGGCTCCCAGTGCTGGATGCTGGATGAATATTTAATAAGTGATGGTCTCCATCCGGAAGAGCTTACAAACTATATAGATAAGGCAGACAAAACATGGGAAGGTTAAACAGGTGAAGTGACATGCTCAAGGTCAAACAGCTGGTCAGTGGCAAAGCCCAGAATACAGACCACAACTCCTAACTCCCAGGCCTCTGGGCCTGTCAAGACTGGTGTGTATCATGGACTTGTTAAAGAAGGTGCCATGTGATGACACGGTAGATTATAATCATACTTTCTGTTAATTGGGGTGCATCTACACAGCAAGGCTTACCGCAAAATAAGCTATTTGAGCTACGTCAGTTGCATATCTTATTTCAAAATTGGGAGTGTCTACACAGCACTTATTTCAAAATAGAGCACTTTTCCTCTGACTTCCCTTACTCCTCATACAATGAGGGTTACAGGAGTCAGAGTAAGAAGTCCTCCAGTTTGACAGTATTTTGACATTATTTCGAAATAACTGCCTGCTGTGTAGACACAGACTAAGTTATTTCAAAATAACATTAATTATTTTGAAATAATGTAGCTGTGTAGACGTACCCTTGTGTTTGATAAAGCAGGTGTGAGGTGCTGTACGGGGATTCATTTGCAGGGCATTTGTGGATGGAAGATTAGCCTTTCATCAGCATATGGAACAACTGTTTAAAATAAGTATTTGATTGCGCTTAATGTATGCCTGTGCACTAAGCTCCCTGAGCCATTCAGATCCGTTTGTCTATCTCATCTGAATCGCCGCCGAGGCATTTATACCACATAGCTAGGAAGCTCTGTCCCTCTCACCTAGCCAAGGATCTGAGGCTCTGAGCACTGTCATTCATGTGTTTCTCCTCTCCAGACGGGATTCCTGTGCATCTATATCTGGGTGAGAAGATGGCAACAATTCATAGAAAAGATGGCAGACAAGGTGTCATGGACCCAGGCTTCTAGGAGCACACGTCTCCATGCTCTCTGTTCCAGTCTGCTCCCTGCTCCTGATCCTAAAGACCACCCAGTGAGCCAGCTCTGAATTCAGCTCAGTGACTGTATCTCCATTCATTGCTCCACAGGCTGCTGGGTTCCACTGGGGCACTGGTGCTTGGTAAACCCAAAGAGAGCCATGTGAGAGCAAAACAAATTGTTCCGGGTCTCAGGGGACAAGTTTCAAGAAGAGATCAGGATAATTGAGAATCCGCTTGTAGTCAGGGCATGAGGAGTCTCGGCTCTAGTAACATGCTTCCATCAGATTCAAAATAATGGAGGTGGAGGGATAACAACACCCTGCACCCAATGGCGAGACCCCCCCAACCATAGCTCCCCTTGCCAGTAGAGAGGAGAGCAGGAAATTCCACGACATTCACTAGGAACCTTCCCATTCAACTCTAATTAATCTGGGAAGCAATTAGCTGGCATGGTTGTGATGGGCACCAGAGAAAAGCCCATGATAGATCCAGCATGGGAGCTTTTGGGTGCCTTGAAATCTCTAAGAGCAGACACCTTCAGAGGTCTCTCTCCATGCCCTGGCTCTGGTTTGTTTTTTGCTGGTTTTGGACCCTTTCTGCTCCATGTCGGAGGGAGAGAATTGTGCAGCAGCCTGAACTCTGACTTTTAAGGCAACTTTGGGCCGGGAGTCTATTGTAAGTTCTCTCTTACTGCAGTTGAATGACTAGTCCAGTCCGTGTCCTACAACCGTGTCCTCTTTCACAACCAGCAACGCTCGCTGGCCCCTCCCTTGTGCTCAGATCACAGCAGATCTGATATTGCAGCTTCTATCTCCATGAGTCGGGGAAGCAAGGAGAAAACACCCCTCTGAAGTCCTTTTTCCCTTCAGTGCATAGGGGCAGCCAGGTAGGCTCTAGGAGTTGAGCTCGTTTCTGTCTGATACTCAACCTTGCACTTGTTAAAGCAACTGTGGGTTCAAGTCCCGCCTTCCCTAGGTCAGGTCGGGTGCTGATAGGTGGAACTGAACCTAGGGCTGCTGGAGCTTAGTGCATGAACCTCTACAGCTTGAGCAAAAAGCCAGCTGGCTGTCAGCTAAGGCCATAGAGCAAACTGATTCTCTTTCTCTCTAAGTGGTGTAAGTGCCACTGCATGGCACAGTGAGCCACACCCAGAAAGTATGTGGGTGATACAACATCACACTCAGCTATGGGGGGGATAGACCCATACTGGACTGTGAATAGGGGCAACCTCCAGCAGAGAAACAGCAAAGGCTAGATTGTGCCATTGGTGCTCACTCAGAGACAGAGGCTAGAGCTTCTGTCCCAGTTCACCTCCCAGCTCCCAGCACAGGCAGAAGCTGACGTTTTTGGGAGGCCGTCCTGTGAGTGCCACACCCTTCCAGGAAGAGGTTCTTCATTGCAAAACAAATTGGGAGGAGAAGAACTTGTCAGAAAAGTTTGCATCCTCCTGTGATGAGGAATTCACAGGTGTAGGAAGAGTTCCCTGTAGCCAGAGAGAGAGAGTGATTAAGGCATCTGGTTGTATCTGGAGGGCACAGCAGGGCACTTAAAGATGGGGCCCAGATGTGAAGGCTGAGAAGTGGCTAATGAAAGGAGGATTTGGGAACATTAGTATTGGGATCCTCTTCTGACCCCTCACCTTCCCCCAGTCTGAGCAGGGATGGTTTAGCTAGTAGTGTGATGGAGAAATCGAATGTGGTACAGATGCTGGTTTATGGTTTTCCATCCAGAAAAAAAGAGTTTTATCCCTCTGCCAAAGCACATGAGATATAAAGATGCTGGGGAGCTGTGGCATTTGCCACACCCTTCCAGGAAGAGGTTCTTCATTGCAAAACAAATTGGGAGGAGAAGAACTTGTCAGAAAAGTTTGCATCCTCCTGTGATGAGGAATTCACAGGTGTAGGAAGAGTTCCCTGTAGCCAGAGAGAGAGAGTGATTAAGGCATCTGGTTGTATCTGGAGGGCACAGCAGGGCACTTAAAGATGGGGCCCAGATGTGAAGGCTGAGAAGTGGCTAATGAAAGGAGGATTTGGGAACATTAGTATTGGGATCCTCTTCTGACCCCTCACCTTCCCCCAGTCTGAGCAGGGATGGTTTAGCTAGTAGTGTGATGGAGAAATCGAATGTGGTACAGATGCTGGTTTATGGTTTTCCATCCAGAAAAAAAGAGTTTTATCCCTCTGCCAAAGCACATGAGATATAAAGATGCTGGGGAGCTCTGGCATTTCTGACACTTGGCAGGATTTCTGAGGGTGTCTTCCAGGATCCAGTAAGGCCCTTGTAATAGGCAAAGAGCAGGAGAAGGTGCCATGTGCTGTGGCAAACCCTGACCCGTTCTTTCTGTGGCGGCTGAGATTCTATTCTCTGCTCCGTGGGGCTCCAGGGTAAGCACAGAGAGGGGTACAAAGCCAATGGCCTGCAAATCACAGTTCAGCACACAGGCCTGATGAGGAAGTCCAGAAGTGAGTGCAATTTGTAAGATAATCCGGGTCAGGCTTGTCCAAGAGATGAGCCAGAGCCAGGGGCATGTGGAGGCTGATAGGGAGAATGAGGGACTCAAATCATTTCGGTTTTCAGGGGTGATGAGAGAGATCTGGGTTTGGTCCTACCTTTAGATTTTAATATATATATCCTCAGGCAGTTCATTAACAAGTGCTTCAAAATGTTTGCTCTGAATTCTCTCTTCATGCCATTTCTTTTTGGGGGCCACAGGGGACCATCCAAAAATC